CTCTTTTAAATGAAACCAGAGAGCGTTGACAGAGAGGAGAAGGTAGAAATGACTCAGCCTGGAACTGAAAATATGGATGGAGGACAACAGAGCTGCTTCATGGAAGAACAACCTCAGATTAGCCTGTTAGCCTTCGCGCTAGCCCTCAAACAAGCTAACTGTTGTCGTCCATCCATATTTTCAGTTCCAGGCTGAGTCATTTCTACCTTCTCCTCTCTGTCAACGCTCTCTGGTTTCATTTAAAAGAGTCGATCATCAGATATTGTCCAAGATTAACCTTCAGGGAGGATATAGCTCGCTAGCAGCCTCGCACCGAGGACCTATCCACGTCATCATTTACCCAGAGTGCTTTGCATGTAAATAAAATGGCTCCATCCGTGTTAACATATATTTTTTAACTTTTAGTTAAAAAATTATAAAAACTGAACATCCTACAATATTTGTACAGTCTTTATTTTACAGTTAAAATATATGTTTATCAAATAAAGTCTAATGTTACAACTAACTGTGGATCCCTTTAAGACCCTGAGCTGTGACTGATGTGGGACTGGCTGAGAGTGATTCATCTCACAGTATCACACATGATTCCATATAAAGTTATTTTCATGGTCTGGCAAAATTAGCACCAACACCATCAATCTGTGCAACATTTCTTCCTCCAAGAACTGCTTGGTCTTTGTTCTGAAGAAGGGTGGATGTTCATCATTAGAGAGGTCTGCTGTGGCAGAACTGCAACCCTGAGATGCTCCTGCTGGCTCAGGGGGCCTCTTCACAGGAAGAGGCATGCAGCACCATGCAGGTCTTTATAGGCCTGTAAAAGACAGACAGACAAAAGCTTCAGACACTTTTAACTAAAAACAGCAAATTCTGCAGCCACGGACCCCAGAAACACACAAGACCCCAGAAACACACCAGCTTGTTAGGTTGGGCAGAGACGTGCCCCACATGTTCATCATTTCCTCTCCTGCTCTAGGAAACTACAGTTCCTCCCTACAGTAGCAGGGTTTCTGCTGCAGGCTGTGTGCTTAACAAGCTCCTCAATGGGCTTCAGAGAAAACACTGTCCCAAAGTGTAGTACACAGTACACAGTACACAGTACACAGTGTTCATGCAAAGGTCAGTGAGGTCGATGCAGCTTCTCACAGCCTGCTGTCGTGTCTGCAGGTCTCAGTCTTCAACATGTCATCCACTTCAAAAGGAGAAGTTTATGATGTCCCAGTGCAGGCGAGGCAGGCCCTGCTCACTGTGAGTACACGCAACAGTTCAAATGACTCATGCTGCATCCTGTGTGGCTGCTGCTCAGATGTCTTTATGGGCTTCTCATGTTGTCTTTGCAGGAATCAACAGCTCCAGGTCAAATGCTACTGAAGAAAACACATATTCCACCTTCCAGTCTGGACAGGAGAATTAACTCTCCAGAAAATACTAGTGGCAGTTCAAGAGACTTTTTTGTAAGTTTTAGATGGAAACGACTAGAGAAGCTTTGAGCTTGACCCTTTTTTCACAGGGGTTGTGATAGTTTTCACCTGAGCTCCAGGCCTGAGAGCTTTGGGTTGTATGAAGTACGTTCCTGGACTCTAAAGGACTGAGATCTCTGAGGGTTTTACTGGATGTTTGTGAGTCTGGTCTTACAGTTAGGAGTTATGTTTTTAACCATTAGCTGGTGCTTGACTTCCCTGGTGTTCCAACCCTAACCCTGCTCAACATGTGCCCAAATACCTTAGCTGCTACGATGGCTAACAGGCCCTACCATGTTGTACAGAGGCAGGTGATTGGCTGGATAGAACTGCCTCTTTCTGGGAGTTTTTCATGATGACTGTCTAACATGGCTGTTTTCATACCTGAGACTTGGTTTTATGTCTTTAAACTGGTTTTTCTGGGAGCTTTCTGTGTTCTTATCATGGATCCTGGAGCCACAGGGCTTTACTGTGTGAACGCTTCACAGCGTTSAGATMATTTGTTCTTCCGTACGTTTTTTAGCATCGAAGTCAGTCCACAATTTTTGTGCGATTTCAACAATTCATGTATCAAAACGTTCATCTCATTCATGTGAGGGCTGCTCTGACTTTTGGTATTTCAGCTTTTTATACTTTATCAGCTATTTCACTTTTTTAGCCACTTTTTTACTATTGAAAATGAATGGAGCTGTTTTCATCTTCCTTAAACTCCTTTAAAATATTTCTAAATCTTTACAGCACCTCACACATTTTGTTCTGGTTATGCTATTTTTTTGCTTTTTTGTGCTATTTAGCTACTTTTTTTTGCTAATTTTAGTTTTTTAGCAAAAATTCTGCTTCTTTCCACTATTCTTCTGCTTTTTTCTATTTTTTGTACTTTTTTCTGCTACTTTGTGTTTTTTATGCTTCTTACACATGCTTTCTTCTATATTCAGCTATTTTCTGCACTTTTAGCTAATGTTCAGCTGTTATCAGCTAAAATTAGCTATTTCTAAGCTAAATACATAACTTTTGTAGCCATGCAACCGAAGTTGAGCTCTATATGCTCCATTATGCTAATTAAAACATTTCCAGCTGGTTCTTACCTGTTCTATTGAAAACTTCGGCTGTTTTAGCTATTTTTCTACAAATTATGACTTTTTAGTAGTTTTGTGCAGTTCTTTTCTGCTAATTTTATATCTTTACCACACTTTCACTATCTGGGTGCTTCTTTCAACTTGTTTCTGCTATCTATAGCTTACTCTTATGCTAATTTTAGCCTTTTTTGGCTCTTTTAGCAAAAATGCTACTTTTTTCTGCTATTCGACTGCAGTATTCTCATTTTTTAAAATTATTTCTGCTAATTTGAACTGTTTATGCTTCTTACAGATGCTTTCTGCTATATTCGGCTATTTTAGCTTTTAGCTGTTTTCTGCTTTTTAAACTATATTTTTGCTAATTCTTACTGTTTTTCTCCAAAGTTAGGGATTTTTTTTCCTTTTAGTTTTTCAAATTGAACATGCATTAACTGTTTCAGCTCCATTTCAGCAGCTTTCAGCCAGTGTTTTCAGTAACAGGCATTCACACTCTCTAGTTATTGTGATATCTTCTTCTCACACATGCGTCTCTGGTATTCTTCAGTCTCAGCTCAGTGTCAGTCCTGAATGGATCTACTGTTATTATTTTCCTGCCATTAGAGCCATTGGGTGGTGTGATTTCTGCTTCTTGTGAGTTTGTCCTCAGACAAGAAGCCAGAGCTCTGAGGCATTGTTTGGCAGTCTGTAGATCAGCTATGGTCAAGTTTCAACGTTTTCATGGCGGATCTTTCTTCATTGCACTTTTCTGTTGCTCTGACCGCTGGCTGATGCCTTGATCTTACCTTCAAGCCTCATGCTTTGTAGTTGGAAAGCCCTCAGAGATCTACTGTGTGTCTGAGGAGCTCAGTTCCAGGAACAGCCAGGACACATCCAGCTCTCAGGCCTCTTGACGACCCAAGCTGGAGGTGAAAAGTGTCACTGTCTTTGTGGGAAATGTACGGCCAGCTGAGTGTTCTTCAAATTTCCACCTGAAATCTTATTGAAATGAACTTTTAAGACTAATCAGCAATTCTAAATATTTCTAATGAAATATTAGTTTTTCTCACCAACATGTTGAAATGATTAGCAGTTTGTTTGCACACCTTTAACTGTCAGAGATATTTCTATAGTTACAGATGTTTTACTTTCCTCAGATTGGTATCTTTGATAACAGAACTGATTTTGATCTTTGCTCAGCTTGTTAACTGAAATACTTTGGTTCTTTAATTCTTTGATACTGATAGTTATCTTCTTTTTGTCTCAGGACCCAAACTATGACTTTCCGGTTCCCTCAGCCACTGAATGCCACGAGAGAATTGTTGGTGAATACAGGACTCTTCCTAATCCTCGCAAACCTGAATGGATCTACGATGTGCCAGTGGGCTCGGGGAAACTGAGTCCAATCCAAGGCATCTATGACACTCTGCCCTCCAAATCCACTCACAGGCTGATATATGACACCCCTCCATCATCTGCTGGATCTGTTCAAACCAGAAATGACCCTGGCTCTCTGTATGACATACCAAAGTCTGATCCTCTAGATATCTCTAGTCCAGAAAAAGGGCTCCAACAAGTTCCACCTGACGACAAGCCCCCAACCCAAGCACCTACAGAGTCAGTGAAGGAAGACCCCCTGAGCAGAGCCGGGACTGATTCAGGTGATCAGAATCCCCTGGTGAGCAGGGCTGACCTAAGCACTGAGCTCAAAAGGGTGCGCCTGCAGCGGATGAGGAATTTTTTGGCTTGTACGACCTTCTGTGATCTTCCAGGAGGGAAAGAAGCAGCTGTGCAGGAAGAGAAGCAAAGCAGACACTCAGACTCAGCAGACAGTCAAAGGATCAGCACAGCCTCCAGCTCTTCCTCCAGCTCTTGTGACTCTTTTGCTTTGAGCTCCTCTCCTGAACCTCCACGAGAAGTGACGCTCAGTCACAACGAGGCCTGCCGCCGAGTCCTGGACCTGCAGGAGTCGGTCTGCAGGACGGTGCCGCAGCTCATGGATTTTGTCAGCAGTAACTGGAGATGTAAAGAACACCTGGAACATCATCTGACAGAAATCAAAGAAGCAGTGGAGAGGATAGTGTGCTCGTTGACGGGCTTCATCCATTTTGCTCAGGACATTAAAGGGAATGCTCTGAGTTTAACAGACGCCAACCTGCAGACCCGACTCTACAAACAGCTGACTGTCATAGAGGACTCCTCCGTGATCCTGCAGCAAACTGCCAGCAAGCTGAACACAGCAGGCTGGTCCCTCAGAACCATCTGTCAGGATCCAGGTCAAGTCCAGACACCTGACCAACTGGATCGCTTTGTTCTGGTAGCACGAACTGTTCCAGATGACGTCAAACACCTCGTGTCCATCATCTGTGCCAACAGCAAGCTTCTGTTCAAAACTCCTCCCAAAGATTCAGACTCTGTCACCAACACAAGTCCTCCAGAGACCAAGAAGAGTCTGCTCAAGACTGAAGGACAGGCAGTGGAAGACAATGATGACTATGTAGAACTACAGGTTAAAAACTCTTCTTATATTCATGCAGAATGTATTAATAACTGGAGTTAATGATGAGTAGATTTTAACAAACAAAACCTGTAAATGTTTTACGTTTTCCTCAGACAAATGCTGAAGAAACGACCATGGAGAGAAAAGAGAAGACACCAGTAAAAAGTGTCTCACCTGTCTCTACAACAGTATGTAAACAAACCAACACAACATGCAGGAAAGGTTTTATACAGCCTGCATCTGATTCACTGTGTTACTGCATCTGATTCACTGTTACTGCATCTGATTCATTCTGTTACTGCATCTGTTTCACTGTGTTACTGCATCTGATTCACTCTGTTACTGTATATGATTCATTCTGTTACTGCATCTGTTTCACTGTGTTACTGCATCTGATTCACTCTGTTACTGCATCTGATTCATTCTGTTACTGCATCTGTTTCACTGTGTTACTGCATCTGATTCACGCTGTTACTGCATCTGATTCATTCTGTTACTGCATCTGATTCACACTGTTACTGCATCTGATTCACTGTGTTACTGCATCTGATTCATTCTGTTACTGCATCTGATTCACTCTGTTACTGCATCTGATTCATTCTGTTACTGCATCTGATTCATTCTGTTACTGCATCTGATTCATTCTGTTACTGCATCTGATTCACTCTGTTACTGCATCTGATTCACTGTGTTACTGCATCTGATTCATTCTGTTACTGCATCTGATTCACTGTGTTACTGCATCTGATTCACTGTGTTACTGCATCTGATTCATTCTGTTACTGCATCTGATTCACGCTGTTACAGCATCTGATTCACTGTTACTGCATCTGATTCTGTGTTACTGCATCTGATTCATTCTGTTACTGCATCTGATTCACTCTGTTACAGCATCTGATTCACTCTGTTACAGCATCTGATTCACTGTTACTGCATCTGATTCACTGTTACTGCATCTGATTCATTCTGTTACTGCATCTGATTCACTCTGTTACAGCATCTGATTCACTGTTACTGCATCTGATTCACTGTTACTGCATCTGATTCACTGTGTTTCTCTGTTTCAGGTTGAAAAGCAGTCTGAGTCCTCCAGCAGCACAGAGCAGCAGCCATCTCCCCGGTCAGAGCACTGCCGGCTGTACTTTGGAGCTCTTCAAAAAGCCATCGGAGGATTTGTGGACAGCGTCAGCCTCGGCCAGCCACCAGAAAAGTTCATCCCGCAGAGTAAGCTGGTGATCATGGTTGGCCAGAGGCTGGTGGACACCCTTTATAAGGAGGCCCATCATCGAGGCTCCTGCCAGATCCTCCTGTGTAAAAGCAACCACCTTTGTGCTCTTCTGAAGCAGCTGGCTGTGGCCACCAAAAAGGCAGCACTGCACTTCCCAGATAGGCAGGTTCTGCTGGAGGCCCAGGATTTTGCAAAGATCCTGGCTCAAAAAGCGCAACATTTCCGGACTTCACTGGACCTCTGAGGTCTGAGAACCGCTCTCATGTCGTGTTCGTTCTTCATGTATGAACCAGCTCGCTGTTTGAGTTTCTGTTTCTATCGTTTCTGAGCTACAACAAAATATATTTTGATAAATATTGAATAAGAATGAGTGTTGTGCTGTAGAGAAGAGTGGCAATGAAAGGATCCAGAGCAGTAACTGCACAGAGTATAAATTCAAAACATTAGAGCAAAATTACTAAAGGCTGTAAAATATCATTTGCAATTTTTGAAAAGTATGAAAACAATAAGGCTATGAATATCAGGACAAATATGTGTAAATATAAATGTAGTAAAAGACAGTATAACATGCTTTGTGAATGAAATAAAAGAGTAAAATTGTTGTGAACGTCTGTTTAGTGAACATTAAGTGAAAAATAGTCATTTTAAGAAGAATTTATTTCAGTTTTTATCTAAAATAATAAGAAATGTAAAAAAGATTTACAGAGAACTTAATGACTTCTCAGCAAATTGTTTAAACTCATAATTATTAATTAGTTATATTTTACCAATATACTACCAAATACTCGCAAGAAGTGCTTATGTATCCCTTCTGGCCTGCCAACGCCTCGCGGTCCCTGGAGGACCTGGAAAGTCTCTGGGGAGTCGGAGGTCTGGCTTTCTCTCCTGGACCTGGATGTTTCTAAACTGCCCCAGTTTAACATATTTATAAATGTTTGATTGTACATTTCAAACATTCTCTTCAAGAGTCTTATATTTTAGGTAATTTACAAGCAACATTTTTCTCATTAAATGATTTTAACCATTATTTAAAAAACGTATTTCTTGTTATCTGAACATAAATTAAAGATGATTTAATACCAAACTTCAGATCATTTTTTGTTAGTTTTATTTATTTATTTTTTTAGTATAATGACATTTGTTCAGTCTCTAACTTTAGGAGCAGAGTGTGAGGGTCTTGTTTTCTGTCATTTGATCCTCTGCGGACCTCTGCTGGTGAAAACATGTAACTGCTGCTTCTTCCATTCAAGCTGAAGTCCCCCCTGCAGGGTGGTCTCAGCTGGAGCACCTCTCAATAAACAGAACCCATGCCGTGTCACCTCTCAAGCTCAAGCACGAGTTGAGGCTCCTCCCCGTCCAGCGGAGGCTCCTCCCCCTCCAGTGAGGGAAGGACATGGCCCCCACAGTCAGCTGTCACCACTTATAAGAAGAAGACAGGTTATCACAGCTGCAGTGGGTGAAAAACATCAAGCTTTTAGTTTTGATCTTTCTCCATTGTTCTCATTATATTTCTCTCCACAGTATTTTTAGATTAAAAAAATCTTCACTGACTTCTCTAAACTTTTAACTTATATTTTTTCTCATCTTTGTAAAGACTATAGTTTTATTTTTCCTTTGAGTGCCTGAATCCAAACCTGTCTGTTTTCTCCTGATCTTCAGCTTGACCTTTCTTGGGATAAATGGTATTTCTTCCTCTTCTCCACAAACTACCATATCTGAAAACAAACGTTTTAGATTTTTCAGAAATATAATTTTTTTGTAAATAACATTGGATAAATTACACTTCAGCTTTAATCAAATGATTATATTTATTTATCTTACATCTTACATTTCATATTTGACCCTTTATTTACAGTATAAGCAACCCACTTCAGATGTTATATACCTGAGCCTAAATCTAACCTAAACTCAACTCACGTTAGTCTTAACTCTGACCCCTGACCCACCAACAGTATTCTCCCAATGGGGACAGGGTTTTTGTCCCCGTAAGGAACAGTGAGTCCTTACTGGGCTGTGTGTACTGGAAAAGTCATTTGAGATTTTGTAAGTTTAGTAGGTTTTTTTGTTTTCCTTAAACATTTTTTTACTTAGATAACTCTAGTTTCATATTTTCCAGAATTGTATATCCTGCAGAGCTCTTTCCAGTGATATTCTGCCAGAAGCAGACAGCTCGACACAAAAACTATCTTTCAAGCAGAAATATTGCAGCAAGATGTTTCAATGCTTTGAAAAGTTCCTCCCAGCTTCAGCCCCCAGCAGCAGAAACGTTTCCCATTTTTTAAAGTTTTCTTGTTTTTTGTAAGTAGATTCTAGCAGAGCTGTCCATTTTGTCAAAACATATGTTGTCATTATTTTTATAATTTTGTAACCAAACATAATATATGGTGTCCAGTTTGATCTCATTCAGAGTTGCTCTGAGCAGCACTGTTGTCTCTGTTAAAGTATTTCATGATGACACAGCCACATTGTAAAACTAATAAATATTAACAATGTCAAAATTTTCAAGATGCACACAGAACTTTTGTTAAACAAAACCTAACCTGGGGTGGACTAGAGAGAAACAAACAGTTTGTGACTTGACTACATTTACAAAACAAGCATTTGTTTGAGAAGTAGTGCACCAGTGAAGCTAAGGCACATGTCTTTGGAAACTACCTGGAAAAAACCCCCAAAGTATATTCATGTTATATTATACATACAACGCCTGGCAAAAAGAAAGGAATCACCAGTCTTCAGACATTCAGACATTTCTTTCTGTAAAACAAACTCAGATCAAAAACATGATACAATAATAAGGTCATTCCAAAGTGAAACTTGTTGGCTTTCAGGAACACTCAAAGAAATGAAGAGAAAACATTGTGCAAGTCAGTGAATGTTACTTTTATTGACCAAGCACAGGAAAAAAATATGGAACCACTTAATTTGGAGGTAGAAAATAAGGACACATCCAGTCAGTTTCTTTTCCCTGGTGGCATGGTTGCTAAAGATGTGGGCTGTTCACAGTCAACTGTATCCAAGATATGGACCAAATATTAACAGCTGATTGGTTGTTACAGCCAAGCGTACTGGTTGACCAAGAAAGACATCAAAGCGTCAAGACAAACAACTTAAGGCCATTTGTCTTGAAAACTGAAAAAGTACAACTAAACAGATGAAGCATAAATGGGAGGAAGCTGGAGCCAATGTATGTGACTGAACTGTAAGAAATGGCCTAAAGGAAATGGGATTTCAATACATGAAAGCTAAAAGAAAACCATCATTGGCACCTAAACAAAAAAGAACAAGACTGCAATGGGCTAAGGAGAGGCAACCATGGACTGTGGATGACTGGATGAAAGTTATCTTCAGTGATGAGTCAAGAATCTGCATTGGACAAGGTGATGATGCTAGAACCTTTGTTTGGTGTCGTTCCAGTGAGATTTATGAAGAGGACTGCCTGAAGAAAACAACCACATTTCCACAGTCCTTGATGATATGGGGCTGCATGTCAGGCAAAGGCACTGGGGAGATGACTGTGGTTCATTCTTCTATCAATGCACAAGTTTACATTGACATGTTGGACAGTTTTCTCATCCCTTCAATTGAACAGATGTTTGGAGGTGATGAAATCATTTTCCAAGATGACACTACATCGTGCCTTAGGGCAAAAACAGTGAAGGCATTCCTTGGAGAAAGACACATTCAGTCCATGTCATGGCCTGCACATAGTTCAGATCTCAACCCAATTGAAAATCTGTGGTGGAAATTTAAAAAAATGGTCCACAAGAAGCTCCGACCTGCAAAGCTGATCTGGCAAACTGTTATCAAAGAGAGTTGGACCAAATTGATGAAGAATACTGTTTGTTACTCATCAAGTCCAGGCCTCAGAGACTGCAAGTCGTTATAAAAGCCAAAGGTGGTGCAACTAAATACTAGTGATGCATTTTGAATGGTCTTTTATCTGTTTTTCATGATTCCATACTTTTTTCCTCAGAATTGAGTGGTTCCATATTTTTTCCCTGTGCTTGGTCAATAAAAGTAACATTCACTGACTTCCACAATGTTTTCTCTTCATTTCTTTGAGTGTTCCTGAAAGCCAACAAGTTGCACTTTAGAATGACCTTATTATTGTATCATGTTTTTGATCTGAGCTTGTTTTACAGAATGAAATGTCTGAATGAGTGCTCATCCAAGACTGGTGATTCCTTTCTTTTTGCCAGGGGTTGTATAACCTGGAGACTAAGCTGTTGTTATCCTTCCACCATAGAGCATACTGGCTAACCATCACTGTGTGGCAGTGCTTATCAGAAGAGGCTGATGATCATGACTGCTGGGAAAATAAGTGGTTGTCCTCTCCCAACCCAAAGTAATATTGCCAGCACCCGCAGTCTCTCCAGGGCAAAGAGGATCTTCAAAGACCACCTCAATCCTGTTCAGCCCTTGCTCAGCCTGTATCCTCCAACAGAAGGTACAGAAGGTTAAGAGCTGCACCAACAGACTCAATGGACCATCCAGACTCAGAACACCAGCCAAACATCCTGAATGCAACAACTACTTTATTATTGCCTTGTCTATGGTTTTTCAGGACAGATGTCCCTTGTGTACAAAAGTTTTTTTTCTTGTGTAGGTTTGATTTAAAACCTTGCCTGCGCTCGTTCATAATCCACACCACAGCTGGCCAGTCATGTTCTGAGCAGATGTGCTGGCTGGAGGTGCATTAAGCTCCACCTTTGACAGAGCTTTATTCATATTCCAGTGAAGTTGGGCGACATTGTGTCTCAGGGTGTGTACCCCCCCCCTTGGATATGGCAAACATAATGGAGTGATCTGAACCTTTGTGGTTCTGGAAGTCCAACTGACAGAACCAGATCAGGAAGGGGCTAGAACCCATGTCTCAGCCTGACCATCCTCTACCTCTGGTCCTTGGAAGGGAGTTTGCCCAGTCCACATGTGTATGGTGGACATGGAGAAGGCATTCAACTGTATTACCCAGGGTATTCTGTAGGGGTGCTCAATGAATATTGTATTGGGGATCTGATAGGGTTGGGAGATATTGGGATTAAAGCTGATAATGATTAATATGATGATTAATCTCCTGCAGTCCTTGGATGCTACATGTCCTAGTCACATGACCAATTTAAATCACCCTAGTGGGAAAGATTTGCTCTCTGTAAAAATCTGTTCCAAATTATGTCAAAAGTAGACTTCAGTTTTTAAAATGTGTTAATAGACAAAGTAAATTAATTGAACTTAAAAAAAAAAAGTTAGTTATATTTGAACCAGAGAGGAGCACTGAGCGGACTGACTGGGGAAATCTCCAATCAGTCTGGTGACATTAAACATATTAATTGTCAAAAAATAATCAATTAAAGTTTTTCTGATGATTAATTTCACACAATGTGATTTTGCCCAACCCTAATGGTACAGCCTTGTCATTCTCTAAACAAATTATGTGAAACAGCTGCAATGATTCAGCACAAGGAATTTTAAAACCATGGCTATGGCTTAAACTCATTCAGATTCAAAACTTTAAATTTAGTGAAATTCATTTTCAAACCAATACGGTTTAAAATTATGCAAAAACGAATTCAGTCTGAGAGATTCAAATTCAGTTTCTGATGA